GCCCCTGCACCCTCTCTGACGTGCCGTGGGCCCGAGCTGCCATGTTTTTGCGTGCTCCCCTTCCTGAGGGCACTGCCTGACCATTTGCTGTACTTGCAGGCCGGACGCCTCAATGATTTTTGTCTCCATTGGCTACGGATTCTTCGTCGAGCTGACCTTCAGCGAGGCTCTCCGCTTCCTGGAGAAGAAGACCCAGCATCTCAATGAGTGAGTTTACTGCCCCCCCACCCCCCCGAGCCTGTTCGGTCAGGGCAGCGAGGAGAGGAGTTGGTGGGGGTGGAGATCACGGACCGGGCAGAATGGCAACCCACTGAACCACTCTAACCCAGCTCTGTGTTCACCCAACACTGCCCCTGTGTGTCTGTGGTAGAAGGAGGGAGAGTTGGAGCTCAGCCCGGCTGCCTCTGAGCGTCGGTGGTGGAGGGAGGGAGAGTTGGAGCTCAGGCGAGCATTCCTAATAAGCCCAGCTGCCTCTGAGCATCGGTGCTGGAGGGAGGGAGAGTTGGAGCTCAGCTCAGCCCAGCTGCCTCTGAGCGTCGGTGCTGGAGGGAGGGAGAGTTGGAGCTCAGCCCAGCTGCCTCTGAGCGTCGGTGCTGGAGGGAGGGAGTGTTGGAGCTCAGCCAAGCATTCCTAATAAGCCCAGTCACCTCTGTGGGAGAGAGTGTTGACAGTGGGGGTGAGCGTGTTGAACGAGCGGGGAGGAGTGGGGGGTGCTGCTTTGTCCTGGACGGTGTCGAGCTTCTCGAGTGTTGTCGGAGCTGCCCCCACCCAGGGCAAGTGGGGAGTGTCCCCCTCACCCTCCTGCCAACTTGTCGATGGTGGAACAGGCTTTGAGGGGGAGGAACAGGACGGGAGTCGCTGCAGGATTCCCAGCCTCTGACCTGCTCCTTGTAGCCTCTGTATTGATATGGGGCTGGGTCCCAGTTCAGTTTCTGCTCAATGGGTAACCCCCAGGATGTTGATAGTGGGGAGGGGGGCGGTGGGAATGGTAACGCCATTGAACGTCAAGGTGGGGGGGAATAGTTAGATTCTCTCTCTCTCTCTCTCTCTCTCTCTCAGAGATGGGCATTTGTGTGGCGCGAATGTCA